CACCACCACCACCACAGACTTCCATCCCAAGGCAAGCCAGATCAAAGACCTGAATGAAGGTGTGTTTGTTGTTCCTTAACATCACTAAAATATTCGCCAGGATTGCAGCCAGGGTCTCAAATGTGAGCCCGGTTCTGAGGCTGCCAGCCCTGCGCCAGCACCTCTATGCCATAAGCAGACAGCCTGCCTGGTGTTCCAAGTCTATTTCAGGACTGACAGAAATTAACCCGCTGATAATGCCTATCTAGTCTGAAATGAAGTATGGGCCTTCTCAAGTACTCACTGCCACCCTCCGGCTGCCCAACTGCTTCCCCAGAAGGCAGGGGGTGTTGCAGGCAGCAAGAGGAGGAGGCGCTGAAGCCTGCCCCCCAGCCCCTGCCAGGCAAGCAGGGTGGCCATGCGCCCTCCTCCGTGCCCCTCTGCAGCCCCAGAGAGCGGTCTGGTAGACTGCATAGCCCCGAGCTCCGGAGAAAGTCTCCAGCGCCTACTCAATGCTGAGAAGTCCCCTTCCATAGAGGTTCTCGCACAGGAAACCCCCCTGAGGGGTCTGAGAGCTTCCCTCCAGGAATTCACGCTTTCCACCATGTCAGCTCAAACAAAATGATTTCTTGATTCCATTTTTGTATCAGTGAACCAACCCTGCGAGGGCCAGCGTCCAGCCGCAAACACACGCTCCCTAAAACCGTGCCATCTGCTTCACTTGCCCTCCTCTTCTTCCACTGCCAGCATCAGCACTCTACCCACCTGCACTGGGGGCCAGCACGCAAATTCACTTGCAACATATCCGAGGATGAGCTGGTATCGGAAGAGGGAGAGGGCAGCCCTAAGGGCTGGGACAGGCTCCCTTTGTCTTCCCATCTACGAACTCTGCCCGGCCCACCTGCAGACAGGGCCTGGTCAGCGCTTCGAGGGGCTTCCCCTCGCAGTGACCCGCCGTCCGACAAAATGAAGCACTGCTGGTGGGCACCGCCCTCACAATGGCTGCTGCGTCTGAGGCCAGTGCAGCAGCCCAGTGCGTCGTCCATCTGTTTTCCCCCAAGCGATGTCTTCAAGGAGTCCGCCTCGCCGTCCTCACGAGCAATCTGGCCGTGCCGCCTCACAGACGCATGTGTTTGTCCTTCTGGCAGTTCAAGGGACTCTCCATGCTCTTCACCAGCACCGACCTTCAACCGCATGCTTTCTGCTGTTGTCTTCCTTCTTTATCGTCTCGCTCACACACACACAGGAGGCCCATCACTTGGACCACGGGCACCTTGGTCCTCCGAGGAGCATCTGTGTTCTCTGTAAACGCCTCAGCGAGGTCTTCTGCAGAAGGTTTTCCCAGTTCAGTAGGTTGTTTGGGTCCCGACAGCGGTCTGTGGGCAGTGATCGTCGATCCAGGTAAACTGAAGTCCTGCCAGCCGCATTCTTTCCTCCACTCATCACGACGTGGCCTACGGGCCCGGGATGTGTGTTTTCTCGATGTTGAGGTGTACTCCATACTAAAGGTATTTGGTATTTCTCAGTAAATGCTTCCAGATCGCCTTCATTCTCAATAATCAAGGTCACGGTATCCGCAATGTCCCAGGTTGTTCCTGAGCCTTCCTCCAATCCTGATGCTGCATTCTTCTTCTTATAATCGAGCTTCTAATATTTTTTGAGGGTATAGATTGAATAAGCACGGTGAAAGGATACACCCCTTTCGTACACCTTTCTTGATTTTAAACCACAAATTCCCTTTATTCTGCTCAAACAACGGTCTCTTGGTCAGCCTATGGGTTTTACATGAGCACCATAAAGTGTTCTGGAATTCTCATTCTTTGCAATGTTGTCCATAATCAGTTATGATTCACACAGTTGAAAGGCTTTGCATAAGTCAGTAACCACAATCCAAACTCCCTGCCATTGCCTGCGCTCTGAGCCATAGCAAGCCTCTAGGAGAGAGGAGCAGGGCCCCATGGGTTTCTGAGACGGACACTGTACGGGAGGGGAAAGCCTCCACACAGGTAAACATCCTTCTAGTTTTCCCTGTTTCCAGCCACGATCTACCTGACATCAGCAATGGTATCCCTCACTCCACACCCTATTCGAAACCCAGCTTGAATTTCTGTACTCCTTCCACCTTCTGATGTTGTTCAATAATTTCCACTTTCCATAGGGTACCCTTCTTTAGAGGGGGTCCACACATGGATCTCTTCTTGCCAGTTGGCCAGGCAGCTGTCATCCAGGTGTCTTGACAGAGATAAACGGGTGCTGCTGGCATCGTATCCATTTGCTGAAACATCTCAATTGGTATTCTATCAATTCCTAAAGACAGCTCTACATTCAGTACTGCTTGGGCGTCTTCCTTCAAGACTATCAGCTCTTGCTCACACTATCCCTGCTAAAATGGTTGAACATCAACGAGTTATTTTGGGTGTAGGGACTCTGTACTCCTTCCACCTTCTTCTCATGCTTCCTGCCTCATTCAATATTCTGCCTGTTTTTTGACACAGCAACACCAGTGTACAACAGAACAAAATGCTGCTTTGGTGTTCAAAGTCTGTGAGATGAAGTCCTGCCATCCTTGCTTCATCTGTTACAGCAATTCTTAACTATAATGGAGCACACATGCGTGCCCACACACACCCACGCACACACACCTTACCTCATACAAACACACACCTCTTACCTCAAACAAAAATTAACTCGTGGA